TCCTGCCCGTGTGTCACCAGTGACCAAATAACTTTCGAGCAACTACAACAGTTGCCTGCCATAAAAGCAATGAGAATGAAAGTTCCTTGTACTGCCTACGTACTTAAATTTCCTTCAAAAGTAGTTTGTTTCGATATTTTTTTATCCAAGTAGGTAAATTTAAAGATATAGTATGACCAATGATAAACACTCTGTATATGTAGGATTTAAACGAAAGAAAGTTTAAAACATTTGAACCAATTTATGGGGATTTTTAAGACTTGTAACGGTAACCAAAACGAGTAATGTTATGGGAAATTTCTTGTGGAAATCATGATCTGACAGACTTTTCCTAGAGATTCAAGATTACTTTTCGAATTACTCTCCCGAGAAATCGTAAATGGCCACATTAATTCTACACTTTCGAATCGTATCACTGCAACTAAAATACGTCGCGTATAATAATTAAGTATACCTACTTTCCTACCCAAATCAATACAAAATATAAGTGTCAACTGCAAACACTATACATGACAAGTAAAGTTTCAAAATAGGCCTTGTACCATGGACGGAGCAGCAGTAACAGGAATTTATAAGTAAATTAAGGAAGTAGGGTACTAACAACGCGCTTTACCGTAATCTTAAATAAATAATACAATCTACATACGTGCTTGCTAGTCGCTGACCAACCACAAATAATTTGATATACGTACTAGCAAGAAAAATATTCTGAGCCTATACACTTCCAATAGGCCACTGAAATGAAGCGAAAACAAAGCACTAAAATTGGTTCTTTGGCATTACTGTTATACCTACTGTCCACCGTATAATTTGGTACAAACCACTGCAATCAACTGTCCATAGTGGGCTAGCACGTGGGGGTATGTCTACACCTGAGTTTGAAACACTTAAGTTCGCCTCCATTCTTTGGCACGCGCGCACGTTCACATACCGTTATTCGACTTCGCTTTCTACACGAGTCACTTAAATCGACGGAAGGTGTATGCCTTGCCAAAAATAAAAAAAATACATCGAAAAATTTGTAATAAAACGAACGCGCTGATTTAGGCGGGAAAGAAGAAAAATGCGTCTATATTTTTTGCTTTTCGCGCTGCTTCTGGTTTTGCCGTTCGGTGAAATGAAGAGAAGAAAAGATCAGGGTCCGACAAAGAAACAGCTCCTTTTACAAAGAAAGGAAACATCGCCTGTAGATTTCACAAGATTATTAATCATGAGGATTGTTTATGGATTTGCTAAAGCTATCGGGTTGGAGGAACCAATAAGTGAAGTGTTAAATGGTGCTTTGGTACCGCCTGGTGCAGACGAGGATGATGAGGGTGATTTCTTTGATTATTAATGATAGTGTTTATTATATAATACGTAGTAAATTCAAAAAGTACATCAACCAAACTGAAGAGGTACAATATAATACACGATGATGTGTTGTTTGACATCGTAAGTTGCCTCGAAATTGTAGACTGCAGAATTTATTTAGTTAGTTTTTCATTTCATATAGGATAGTCGCTGCATAAGGCTTGTATTAAAAAAAAAAAATATTTTTGTAAATCTAACTTTATATAGATATATCCTTAGAATAATAACGCATGGAAACCTAGTCCGCACACGCTAAGTGAGGCAAATTGAAGCGCTCCCAATGGGCCTACACGAGCGGGCGGGCTTTCAGTGCTCAAGGTCAACTTGCACCGCGAACAGGTCAAGAATTTTAGCTAAAAATGAAGAAATGTGCGGTAAATGAGTGTAAAAATACGTCAGACAAGCATAACATAGATACTAACACCACATTCCACAAGGAAGTAACGCGTTTCAACTCGTATTTTTATATAAATATTCACTAAAACCGAAAATTATCCTACTACTAAAACTAGCCTACATGAATTTGATTTTTGCCTCACTTGTGACAGTTGGTTTGATCTGAAACTATCATTCTATGCGTTATTATTCTAAGGATATATCCCGTTTTTAGGTTTTCGCGATTGTTACACGTAGGAAATGAAACCATTTTCTCGGATCTAAATCGCATAGTAACCGACAAAATTACTGGGACTCGTAAATAAAAAAATCGGAAGAAAAGTATACGCAAAGTAGTAGTTCTGTCAACCGAACTGTGCAACAGAACTAGTGGGTATAATCGGGTATATTTGCGTGACTTTGTGATCTGTAAAGGGCCCGAAATGAAGGTTTGTTTGAAAAAAATAAATATACTTTAATTAAAATACATAGATCCGAAAAAATAGTTTCATTTTCTAATATATGTATTTTTATTTTTGTCAGTCAAAAGAACATCAAATTTGACACGACTTGAGTTGAAATTAAATCTTAAACATCAAATTCAATTTCAATTCAAGTGTCTAGAATATTATCACGATAAGTAATACTTAAAATATTTACATATAATTAGCAGCGATCATCTTACATAGAAAGGAAATTCATTCATAGATACGAAATGGCAAGCATTGCATTTATCCTATGAAAATTTGGACATAATATTTATTTAATTTATTGAATTAGATTATTCATTATATTTATTTTAGTGTTATCGTGTATTCATTGGTGTGAATACCATAAATTATGTTATTTTAAATTGTATAGCTATTTAGATATTTATTTATTAATAATACATTATTCATTAACACACAGAATATGTATTATTAATGAAGTTTATTTAAAATTTTTTTATTAATAATTTAGCAATTTGTTTTATTCGAGCAAAACGTAAACTGCTCAAGTATTCGAAATATAAAAAATGTTTACTTATGTAAACAATAATTTTAAGCGTAGCTTATATTTATAAAATGTGTACCTGTTGTAGATTTTTTAATATCACTCTATTTATATTGTAAATAACAATCTTATTTATTTAGTACATTTGTGGTTTTATTTAATTTTTGAACGACAAATTTTAAATTGTTTCCATTTGTCTTAAAACCAACGTAGATTTTGGGATAATTATAAATTAAATCCATGGATAACAAAAAAAAAATTCATGAAAAAATATATATTATGTCATAAATCATCATCATTATCAACTAACCATCTTGAATTATTGTCAACAAATCCTTTATCTTGAGAACAGACGTCTTCTTCATCACTAATAAACCTTTCTTCATCAATGTCATCAACAGATGATGAATCATGACATCCTTTCATTTTCCTTATTAGGTCTCCCCATTTCATTTTCATATTGCAAAAAGGACAATTACCTTCTATAGGAATATAATCTCCAGAAGTTAAAAGAAGGTCTGCTAAACAACTTATGTGTGAAACCAGCTCACAATTAGAATTCAAACAACATAACTTTGAAGTTGAATTCGTTATGAAGCGTGAACATATTAGACATTCAATGGATTTAAAGTTTGAGTATTCTGTTGATTTTTTTAGATTTCTGCTTTTAATTGGACCGTGGACTACGGACATGTGATCCGGCGGTTTTCTTTCCAGCTGAAAAATAAAATTAATAATAATACATTTAATATAAACTTCTCTGGATAATGTGAGCCTTATCTGCAACTGCCTGTGCAATGTTGTCCTCTAATAGGCATATAAAACTTACTCCTAGGAAAACATAATTATTCAACAGCCAGATGAGGTAAAGACAGAAGACGCTAAGAAAATAATACAGTTCTTGTAGGTCTTGGCTCTGAGTTTTAATTAGTGGTGATCATATTAGATCAATGGCTGGTTGCAGTTATAAACAGCAAAACATCTAATAACAAAACAAACAGAATCCCATTTCATCGGTAATTAAATATGTAATTTTTAAATTTTCGTCCATTATAGGAAAGCTCAAGTTAAACTGGTTGATTTGAAATGAAACAATTGACGACATCAATTGTTTCCAATTTCGAGCTGGCCAATCAGAGCGCAGTTGCCACCGTAATGATATGGCAGAATAGTTTTCAAACAAATTAAATGACATTTCGTCTCTATTTCTGGTTATATACTCGAAGAGTAGGAAGCACACTTTTACAGAAATTACAGTATTATTTTAACAGAATAAATAAGAGCATTTTGCTATTTCAAGACGGAGAGTTCATTTTTTTACTTATTACGCAGCCAAAAGAAGATAAATAATTTTTAATTTTAACTTTATCTAATTATCTACAACTTTTTATTTCTAAATCGCAAAAGTTCCTGCAATCATACCTATTTGCCAAGTTTTGTAATCGGTGACCGGAAAGTGCGCGAAATCGGATTCATCTACTAGTTGACCACCCTTAGAGGTGGAATATTTACTTCAAATTCAAATGGGACCCATACTAAGGTAACCCTCTTTCCAATAAAAAAGAATCATCAAAATCAGTTCGCAAATGAGCCGGAATAATCGCATAACATACAAACAAAAGAAATACATTGGAATTGAGAACCTCCTCCTTTTGAAGTCGATTTAAAAGTAAAACAATTCTTAAGGAAGCTATGACAACATTAAAATAAACTGTAAAAAAGGAACCTTAATTATTGTACAATCTTCATAAGCTACACGATTTAATTTTAGAACCTAATAGTGTGGTTGCCATGCCTAAACTCTGTAAATGAGTTTCGAGAGCTGGTCCTGTACTCAAAAGGGTCTAAATTTAATTGCACAGAAGACCATTGGGCCCATATATGATTTGTCGGATATGCGTGCAACGGTTTTTAAAGCATCTTTCTGTTGAATTTAGGTCTAACAAGGACGGACAAGTCATGCGCCTGATAGTAAGCTACACGCCTGTCCATGATCACAAAGTGCCACTCGGAGCTTTAAATCGCAAAGATCTGTGGCACTGTCACTGCGCCTGTCACCCTGAGGCATAAGTTGACAAGTCTCATGTGCCTGTAATTTCACCAGCACCCTAACCCTACAAAACCGGAATGCAGTAATGCTCACATTACTGCTTGTGGCAGAAGGTACCTAAAGTGGCAGTACTTTCCTACACGAACTCTTTCACAAGGAGTGTGACGAGAAGTGTGTATTATGTTATGATTTATTTGGTATATATACTAAGTGTATGATGGTTACTTACAGGAAAGTCTTCATAAAAATCTTCCTCTAGCCATCTAATCAACAGTGGCAATCTGCACCAAGGACCAACTCTAAGCATTTCTGATAAAACTCTTAGTTTAAATTTGTATTCAGTCTCTTTTCTAGGAATCTTCTTGAGGTTTAAGTGTTGCAATCGTATTGTTGTTGTCGGATTCTGCCAGGCCCATTCGAACTGGAACAAAATATTTTGTTTCAAGGAAGACATTTCTTTATTGGGTGGGAATATCATTTCGTTTTCTATCTGTACTTTACTACTTACATTCTAAGATGGATAGCACAGTCATTTGCATAAATATAGTAAAAGTACATCCAAATTTATCTTTGATGTCTTTGATTGGAATTGTATAATCACAGATAATATAATACCATACTAGTTCAGATACCAAATCTCATACAAAGGAATGTCGAATGTCTACCTCTGCTTATTCAGACTCTTATTTTTGATTCTTAAGGCTGGTCAATTGATCGCGATGCGATTGCATTAATATTCGAAAAGACCAACAGATGGCAGCTATTACATTTTTGTCACGGTTATTGCTCTTAATCAGGCATTTATTATTATATACAATAACATATAATAAAATCGCAAAGAATCTGAATCTGTACTTTTAATATATTGAAGTACAAATCAGAGCTAAATTGTTACTTAGTTTTGAAAGAGAAATCAAAGAAACACCATCTATACAATTTATTGCAAACTAACAAATCAAAAAGTATACTATTGAGAAATCTTACATTTACGTAAATAAATTTTGATTAATTACACATTACTAAATAGTTTTGCATTTCTTTTTTATATTTTGTACTTTTTAGATAGCATGATGTACTTCAAATATTTGAGGTTCAATACTTTATATTGTTTTATCTAAGTATCACCATCTACAGTTTTAAGCACATACTAAAGTTAATTTTTTTGTATGAATTGAGACCCCACGGTATAATATTCCACACAAAAAAATTTGCTAATTTGATTTTTAGCAAAACATTTTACAGATTCAATGAATAATTTCATACAATAAGCATATTTAAATTTTGCTTCTGTTTATGTACTTGAGCAAGTGAATAAAATAGTTCTTCATAAAGTGCCGAAGGACTAATTGCTAACCAATTCAGCATTCTGAATTCCTGATACTGCACAACATTAAGTTTTTACATTGTTTAATCTAAATAACTTTGTCATCGACTCAGCCTTTCTTTCCTTCGATCTTCCCTTCTATTATGCTTATAACAAAAGTAGAGACAAATGTAATGCCCAAATAATTTTCCTCGTCAGTCCTTTATTATCTCCAATAAGCTTCTTTAATAGGGTATTAATTTACTTAACATGTAAAGTAAAATTATTGTTTTGAAAACTTACCCGCAATGCAGAAATGTTGTTTGGAAAACCATGCACTATCATTACCATTTTCCTAAAATTATATTAAAAAAATATATTTAAAAAATTGTGTGAGTAATTTTATTTTTTATTTTTTTTATGACACCAAATCGTGTTCCTGGTGGTAACAATTGCAGTGACACTCAGAGCTTCAAATCGTAAAGATCTGAGGGGCATTGCCACTGCACCCGTCACCCTGAGACATAAGTTGACAAGTCCCACGTGCCTGTAACTTCACCAGCACTCTACAGAACTCTTCTGCTGTTAAAAATACTAATGGCTAGTAAGATTTTGTGTGTTTCTAAATTAGGGGTTATAGTAATTAAAAAATATATATTATTATTATGTATTCAATTAGCCAACTTACCACGGTCCCCTGTTACTAGTTTTCCACGCTCCGCCTGCCCAAGTACCTCTATTATGTTGCATTATCCTTCTATTCGGATCTCTAGTGTAACCAATATATGTGCGACCCTTATATTTGGGATTTATATTGTAAAGAAGGTACACTCCAAAAAAATCGTCTATTACCTCCGGTTCCATAGTTCTTTCTACACAATTTTATTATAATAATACTGTAATTAAAAGTATAGAACTTTATAAAAGGGGTTAATAAAACATTTTAGACAAAATTATAATAAGTAAGTTATTAGGTGCATAAAAAAAGTATTACGTAAAACTTTGTTTTGGTAACTTTAATTTTGATGTTTCGTTTTGATGTCGCTTCGTGAAAACCTACCGTTGTGTTTTATTTTTATACTATGGTTTTATATATCAATACATTATGAATATTCGTTGACAAAGTGAACATTTTAATACACTTTTAAAATTATAAATAATAAAAGCGTATTAACTTGTTTAATACTGAATACTCACTGAAATAGCTTGAAATAATGTTCTATAGGTTTTGATGGCAGTGTGATTGTGATGTAAGGTTATGCCAGGAAAAGCAGATGATACGCTTTACACGGAATTTAAAATAGTATTTCTAGTATTTTGTTCATATGAATAAGGATCAGCATATTGAAGCCACTGACGAGTCGGACAAAAGTGTTGACGTTGGGAGTCTACTCTCGATCTCCTTCCGAAACAATTACTCTCAAATAGCAATATTCGACAAAGTTTAAAGACAAGTATGAAGCTTCATTGGCATCATAAACTACTAATACAATTCGCTTCACGCGTCTTGTCATTTGGTCAAGTATTGCTTATTTGACAGTAATTGTTTCGGAGCCCCCCTTTTTAGACTCCCTGGTCAACGGGTTAATACAACAACTGGTAGCATTAATAAAACGAACAAGCATCGTACTAATGTCAAAAAATCAGCTGGCTGACTGACAACTGTATCGGTCGGTACCACGGACTTCCGTAATAAATATATAAATCCATGATCGGTACTACCCGCCGGTAGTAAAATACCGATGAGTGTTTTGAATTTTTAACTAATTAATTAATAAAAATTTTATTCCACAAAAAGACAAAATAATCTGAAAATATGTCCGAAGAAGCACCTTTAAATAGTTCTCAAAGGATTTGTGGACTGTAAGTATAAAATATTACACGGTAAAATCACGTATGCTCCAAACAAGATTTTTTTAATAAAAATCACATTATTTTCCACTATATAGGTGTAATTGCAAAGTAAGCAAGTACTGCTGCCCTCGTTGTGAAATATTTTACTGTTCCTTAGACTGTTATAAGTCGGAAAAACACGTTACTTGCTCAGAAAGATTTTATCGCGATTGTGTGAATAACGAACTCGCATCGTACCAAAATGACGAGGAATCTCGTAACAAAATGATAGACATACTGAAAAGAATGAACGAGGAGCTGGGAGAAGAACAGGCTGGAGAAATAATGGAGAATATTGATGAACTTGACTCCGATGACGACATTGAAGTAGATCTACATGAACGAATTAAAGATATCGATCTCGACAATGCTGATCACGTATGGGACGCTCTTACAGAAGATGAGCAAAATGATTTTGAAGCATTATTGAATAAAGGTACCACTTAATTAAGGAGCTTCGGAACAAAAAGTGATACATTTTTATTTCATCTAATCTCATTGAATGGATTTGACGCATTGTGTTCAGATTTGTAAATTTGAAACGTAGTTTCAACATGCATTTAGTGGTTTATGTTTGGTTTGGATAAGTTATTCAAAAAACATGACCAAAACTACCGTAATTAAAGAAAGGAAAAGTGAAATTGTGACTTAGCAATTTTTGTTCTGACGCACCTCAATTGCTACATGAAGAAGTTTAATAATGCACTCCAATACTATCTTCTAAATTGCAAGTTACACTCATTGGTATTATGGAAGGTGATAATAATAATAATGCACACATTCATTGCCCTGCACTAGGGAGACCCAGTGTCATTCTGTGCGATTCTGTATCATAATGAATAGAGATTATTTTAAGTTTTAAAAGTGATTGATCCATATGTTTAAGGATCATCTATTATTAATAATAAATCCACCTCAAGTGTGAACACAAATTCGAAGCATTGTACCGGCAACACCTACACTCATTACAATAGTCTTATCTAGTTTGTTGTAATTTTATTATTATAATATTTTTCATACTAAAAAATAATCTTCTCCATGACTCCATGATATAAATTACTCATCATTAGACACTTGAAAATTTCAGCTTATTAATAGAAGTTATTCAGCCCTTAAGCCACTACTACAGTTCATTGTTATAAGTCCTAATTCATCAAGAGTAAGGGTCGTATTCCAGAACTCTACTCAAGTCAGGAGTTGAGCCATTAGGGTCGTATTTCCAGTGCTTGAAATCATACTCAAGTCTGCTCAAATTCTGACTTGAGCATTGAGTAGAGTTCTAGAATACGACCCTAAGTCTTAGTCACATAGGGTGGTGTCTTAGTAATTTACTTTATCTATTAATATTCGACAATTCTAGGGTCGGCGGACTAAAACACATAAGTAAAAAAAGTGCTTCATTTGTTAATATATAATTGTATATTTTTGTGTTGTTTTTAGTGTTGGAAGTTAAATACCCTCTAGAATAAAGTTTGATATTTATGAAGTAACAAATGAATTTGACTTATGTGCTTTAGCCGGTAGATGTATTCATTTAAATGAATGATGTTGAATTTTGACTTATGTGCTTTAGTCTGCCAACCCTAGAATTTGCAATGTACGATACATCTGAGTGACTTGCAGCTATTTATTAAAACAGGCCTGACTTTAAATTGTTGCTTACACACATTTTCAATACTTTTATTATACTTAATTGGCATGCTTACTCTATGTTATTTTAAAGGAGATGTAGGTTCCATATTGCCGCAGTGGGAACCGTGGTGGATGTATCGTAGAAGAGAAAAAAAGATACAAAATGTAGGTGGTACAAATAAAAAAGAGGAAGAGGCATTAAAGAAGTGTCCATTATTGAGAGATGTTCCCAAATTGAGTTCTTTAACTGTGAGTATTTATACTGATTTCCAAATAAATATTTATACTGATTTCCAAATAAATATTTAAAGTATGTAAACTGTTAAGTTAACAATAACTAGAATTGACAATCATCTTTGGGTTCGTTCAAGCCTACATTTCTTTAATATTAACTGGCTAACAGTAAACACATGCCTATACAACACAATCCCCATCAGGTTTTCTTAAGAATTCGTTAATATATTTATTAACCTATATTATATAATGATAATTCAATTATATTCATAAATTACTTAATCTATAACATCAGCGCATCCTGAAAACGCATAGGTCTCCCCCAGCTTTATCCATTTGGCTCTGTCCCTTGTCAGCCTAGCTATAGAGGTCCAGCTATTTTTTTAAAGTCATCGACCATCTTTTACAGGGACGACCTCTTTTCCTCTTGACATTTTCTCTTGGTAACCTGTTACCTTTCTGGTCCACTTTTCTACTCTTTCCCTGTACATTAGGCTAGTCCACTTCCACTTTAGTGTTTTGCTTTTTGTGGTGACATCCTCCAATTTAGTAGTACTTCGTATGTCTGTAGCTCGCTCTTTGTCTCTTAGACAAAGAGAGAGCTATAGACATAGACTTAAAGAACCCTGCTTTTGTAAAGCTATCCAGATATGATTGTGGTTTATAGAATCGAAAGCTTTATTGTAGTCTATGAACCCTATGTATAGTGGGTACCCATATTCTTGTAATTTCGCAATAACTTGTTTGATGGCGCGCATACGGTCAAAGGTGGAGAAGTCCGACCTGTTCTTTGGGTTGCTCTTTATAGCTAGCCTTTTCGCGATTCGGTTTAGTATGACTTAGAAAATACTTTGTATAATTCGACAACAGACTTATGGGACGGTAGTTATTTATGTCCCCTTTCTTGTGTATAAGTAAGATGGTGCTGTTTGTCCATTATGAGGGGATAAATTCTGATTCGAGTATGGAGTTGTACAACTTAGTTAGACTCTTGACCGTACCGGAGAGGTTGCTCTTCATTTGTTCATTTGTTATACTGTCTGGACCTGGTGCTTTGTCATTTTTCTGGGACAACATAGCAGCAGTGACTTCACTCTCTAGAATCGGTGGTATTCTTATTTGTTTAGGTCTTCTAGTTCAATCTCCAAGCCGTTCGCTGCATCTTTGGCATATAGGGTTTGGAAAAAAAATGTTGCTACGTCTAGTTCTCTGTTCCTTTTTGTCTCTTGAGGTTAGCCTTGTTTTTCATTTTTGGGATCCACTCTTTGGACTCTTGTAATCTTTCATGGCCTTTCTTATTCCACCTGTCTTCATAACATGTTGTTTTATGCATTCGAATCGGTGTCGCGATGTACCTTTTTTATGACAAGGCTTATTTCTTTACTTATTTTAGTGATCTGTTTTAAATTTTGTTTGTCTTTCTTGCCCTTGAACAGCTCTATCCTTTTTGTTATTATATCTTTGGTATTTTGGCTTAGTATTTCCGATTCGCTCTGGACCTTTTGGAGGGAAAAGTTTCGTTTTTATTTTGATTTTCAATTATTTTGTGAAATCTAGTTTAAAGTGGAATAGGATAGTGCTATTGTGCCTTAATTGAAGATTAAAACGCGAAATTATACGAATCTCGAACTAGAATACCCGTAACGGCCCGCTTTAAGGAATCCCGAGTCAATCCAAGCACGCCGCCTCAAATTGCCTATCCTCTTTGTGGCGGCCATATTTACAGAAACATAATTAAACTTCATGTTTAGGCTGATGGCTTTGCCAAAGCCTTAATAAATAATAATAATAAAAAAATTAGTATTTCCTTTTGTTGTTTCTGCGGTGCCGTCACTCTGTAGATTTTGTTTATTTCATTGTCGTAGTGGTCTTACAGGTATTGGTTCTCTATTGGTAGTGAGCTTAGCTTTTTGAATGTTGCTTGGAGGTTTGGGTTATTTTGGGCAAAGCGTTTTCTTGCTTTTTTTGATTTGTCGATCTTCAAGGTTACTCTTATCATTCGGTGGTTAGTATTAAAGTTGACTTGGTTTATAACAGATGCGTCTGTATAATATTTTCTGCTATTAGTGGCTATATAGTCGGATCTCATTTCTATATGAGCCATCTGGTGACAACAAGAATTCGTTAATATAGATGTACAGTAATCTGTGTCAACAACACAGATTATTATTTAGGGTCGTCCAGGGAAGTACTGCCACCTTATATATTTCTGCCGCTAAGCAGTAATGTGATTAGAGGGGAGAAATTACAGGCACATGGGACCTGTCAGTGGCAGTGCCCCTAAGATCTTTGCTATTTAAATCTCGTGAGTGGCACCAACTGTTATGGATAGGCGCGTCGCTTTGTTCGTTTCTTCACTTCGTATTATAAAAAAATATATTTCACTTTGACTTTGACAACACACGAATGACAGTAGCGTTGAAACGGATATCCTGTACTATCCGGTCGCTTAAGGGAAGCTTCAAACTGAAAAAAATCACAACATCGATTGATCCTTTACGAAAATAGTTCTTTGAGCTGATTTTACAGTAACATAATATAAAACCGTAAGAGCTGAGAGCTCTACAAATTATTCTGTATTTGGTTTTACTCTTGTATAAGAAGAATTCATATAATAGCGGGTATAGCTAAGTGACATAACCGATATTATACGGTTCAGGGTTCAATGTTCTGTAAAGTACTTTCTAATCTAATCCATGTAATATTTAAGTTTATATTTATATTATTTTACTAATCAAATTCATTATACCTCTATTATACCTACAATAACTTTTTATTTAGTTTAATTTATACAAATTTTATAACTTTTCAGACCATACAGCCTTCACCAGCGATCAGATGCAACATAACAAACGTTATAGCGTCGTATGCCTTCGTAATGCGCTATTTCAACAACGAAATCGATCCAGTGGAAGCCACAATTTATATATTAAACATTTGCGACAGTTTGGACAATAATATGAACTTTTGTAATCCTATCACAGCTTTAGAATCTGTTGCACAGAAGTGTCTTCAGGTAAGATGATTTTGCCAATGTCAAAAAAGGTTACTACGTACGTCGAGTTGCGGATACCAGCCCGTTGCACCAAGTGCCAAGTACGTACGGTACCTAGATGTGTAAAAATAATATAGCGGAAAGCTCTCACTAATGATAATTAGTTAAAGTTATGTAGTTTAAATGTCAGTTAAATCTTTTCTGTTAAAGCGTTTCTGAATACGCAACGAATTATTCCATATCTCGATACCTCCAGTGAACATTACACCAAATTTATTTCTTGGTAATTTTCTGTTATTTTTGTAAACAGCCATATTTATTCACTAAAATTATGCTCCCCGAATTTTGTGAAAAAAACATAACAAAATTAAAAAAAAAAAAAAACAAAAATACTGATTTTGTGATAAAAAATAAAATAAAAACAACGTCAAAAAATTAAGTTGGCGTAGTGTTCATTGGAGGTATCGCCTATGTAACCGATTTATAGTTAGTAAGTAGATATTTTATCTGCCGCTAGACGGATCTTTTCAAAACAACGAGTCTAAAATTGATTTTTTTATATTGGCTAATAAATATCAAACATTTATAAATTATGGTATTTTTATGTTAAACGGACGAAAACTACTCTCAAGAAATGTTTATCTGAAACTTCAAATATTTCTTACACTGCCGTTCTACTCTCGCATTTAGTCGGGGATATAAATCCTCGTATGAGTATTGGTAAAAAGCGCGTATATACACTAAACCAAATTTCACAGGAGAGGGACTTAACGTTATTACTTTTGTAATTCAATGGCTATGACTTTCACTTTTGCAAAGTAAGCATTAATTTATGTTGTCTACGGACTGATGACAATAGATTGCCGTAAATCACGCTAATTTGGTTGGCACGACATTTACGCCGATTTAATTTGGCCACTAAATTACCAATATGGAAACTCATAATAAAATGCCACTTACGCGTAATTGCACTATCCCCGATGCTTAGCATTTATATATAGTATAGAAATGTGCAAGAAAAAGGGTGTGTTACAAAATTCGGGTTTATAAAACACTGCGCGTTGTTGTTTCTTTCATACATGTGATAGAAAATTTTTCAAATTCCAAAGTTTTGGATATTATACATTGGGTTTTTGAGATAACAATTTTTCTTTTGTTTTACAGAGCAACCTAATAGTAACAGACGAAATAAGTCTTGATGTAATGAAACAAGACACATTTTTGATTCTACAAGGGCCAAGCAAGAGCAACAAAATGCACTACTGCAAAGCTGCATTATCTCACTTACATACTATATTTTCAGAAGCAAAATCTAATTCAAAAACCAAGAAAATTGAGCAACAGACTAAAGGTGTGTTTTCTAAAAAGTTTCCTGAACATAAATCTGAACATTTCCCTAAATTAGTTTCGAGTAAAATAAGTAAATGTATTAAAAAAATTGAGTATTACTTGTCGTATATTGAAAGTTATAGTATGGAGTCGGAATAGTACTTTAAAGTATTTAATAATATTAAATGTATTTCTTTCTTACCTTTGTTTTTGTAATTATTTGCGATCGTCTGCCAAGCCATAAGAGACCCCCCATACTAGTGTCTTTCGAGGGTCAGCAGATGCCAACGCACGCACAGCATCGACATCGACACGACGTCCGCGCGGCGACGACGCAACGTAGTATCCCTAATTAATTTGTGCGCCGCGCTCGCGTTAAGTCGCGGTCGCGCGGACGTCGCGTCGACGCTGTGCGTGTGTTGGCAAGACGCTAGTGTGGGCGAATCTATTGAACGAGGCGATAAACACCCTTAGGGCCTATGCACACGGCGTAATTTATACGCGCAGCGGACGCGCTGATAACGCGCGTTAACGCGATTCAAACGAGAGTCAGTCGTATCTAGTAAACCTACCAAATAAACCAAATTCATACGCACCGTTATAATCACGCCGCGCATTTTGATAACAGACAGATTTAATATTAGTTTTGTTTATTAATTTCAGTTAATTTTTTAAATAAAGCAAACATGAAATTCTGAGTGTTAACTCCAGTGGAGTATATAAGCTTCTTGCTTGCAACGCGATGTTTGCATGCGTTTCAATCGATTCACTACAGCGCGTCTGCGGCGCGTATACCTACGCACAGATGACGTAGTAATATGGCGCGGTGGCATGAGCGCGCGCCCCTTCCCTGCACCTTTTCGCAGTCTTGCAACGCGATGTTTGATTCGATGCAAACGCGCTTCGGGCGCACGTTTGAAACGCGTTTTACGCACGTTTGAATCGATACAAACGCAATAATCTGCTTTTCGAACATCTTCGACACCGTAAACGCGCGTTCAAAGCGCGTCCGTGAAACGCGCACCGTCTGCGCGTATAAAATACGCCGTGTGCCGTACCATTAGAGTGAGGCCAGACGAGCGTAATTTTGTGAGTTGCGTTTTTTGAGTTGCGCAGTTTGCGCTCGACCGAAATTCGATTGGAGCACCAGACGAACGTATTTCATTCAGTTCATTTTAAGCGTTTATACCAAAGTAACCCCTTCCCTCACACCTACCTCCACTCGCGCCAGCCTGTCGCACGATGCGACCGAAACTCAGTCGTCATTACGCCCGTGAGTCGGCAGATAACTCATTTTGCATGGTCGTGTGAAACAAACCGTACTTTTATATGAAACCGAATGCAGCTCAAACTAGTTTCTTACATTTTAAATAGCCACTTTTTATCTGAATAGTAAAATTTCAAAAAGTCGACCATAGTCACGCTGGATGAGAGCACGCCACCAGCCATAATATGGAAATTTTTGCTGTTGTCACCTCAGGAACGATGAATTGTTGTAATTTATTACTATAATTCCAAACAAGAACAGCACAAGTTTTCGGAAAAAAATTATATCATAGTAACACGTTACTTATTAGTAATTAGTGTCAATTACCGGGAGTTCATTATTGATCCATGAAGTACACGGTATAGGGTTATGTGTGGTAAAGTATGTAATCATAAATTGTAAACTGTTTTCTATCAAAATTACTTCTTGCGTGAATTTTGGGATACGTTTACAACGCTTAACATTACATCGCCTTATTGGCAGACAAGAAAAAAAATAAAACAACCAACCACCTTTACCAAACACTTTAATGAGCCAACAACAACAAGGAGAATGTTAGGAATGTATAGAACAATATTATCATTAAATATTCACATATGCATATTTAGTATGACTTCACAATACATCAAGTAGTCTTCAAACCGAGTTTCGGAGCAAGATCAGAACATAAAAAGTTATTTACATTAAACATGGCAGTGTCCTAAGTTATTCTCCACACTTTAACATAGTACAGTAACTGATTATCTATTCTATATTTACACTACGAAGAAATGTGAGGAATAATTTAGCAAATACTGTCGGTGTAATGTTAATAACCATTTCAGCAGTTTTCTTAATGTATAATAAGATGAGGTAAGACGAACCTAATTTTTAAGGGACTCTTGGTGTAATAAGAGTTGGGAGGTAGGATCCCGAATTAGGGCGACTTAGGTCGTCCGATATGTCGCGCCCCGCCGCTCGGGCAGTGTTATTACACTACTAATTGCCCTAAGTGTTATTATACTAATACTAATAATGCTGAGTGTAATAACACTTAGGGCAGTTAGGGAGCTAAATTAAACTAATTTGTTTGCCTGTTTTATCGACTGAGAAACTATAGTGCTAAACTTTTTAGATTATGCGTTAAATCTTCAAGTCCCTCTTCCCCCAGTATTCCTCCTACCCCACCTGACCATATAAGAAAGAGCTTCGGTAGGTAATCAACATTGTGCTTAGTTTTATGACAACGCGTACGCATCGTGCTATTGTTGACGAAACTCGGTCCATATTTTCCGCACCATTAAACGGGTTTCCATTGGTTTATTATCTGACATTAAAAAATATGTAATACGTGTCTAAGACAATGAAAAAAAGAACTTTCCTATAAAATGTCCAACCCTTAAATAATTTACATTAAATTTATAAAATAGTTTTTTTTTTTAAATTTCACACTTTTACGATTATTTGAATAGAAGTTACATGATTTACGAAATATTATTTTCAATTGTAAGTTTTTACAAAATTTTACTCCTTCAAGAGTCGGATCCAATTTTGTTTTCTTAATTTTTTTACACACTGTTTATCCGCAGGAACTCAATTTTACAATAAAAATATAGTAAATAAGAAAGTAATGATTAATGTATAGTGTTCATAGCCATCACCTCCCTTTCCATAACTTTTCGTAATCCACAACAAACTTCTTCTATTTTTAATATTGACTGTAATGAATATTATAATGTTTTACTACCACGATATTCATTTACTTTTGTCAATTCACTCCACTATAATATGAACCATAATTCATGTCCAAAATGTAAACAAAGAGGATAACCCGAGCAAAAAATACATTTTAATTGCTTCTTTTCTATTTTCGTCATTACAACTTTTTTCAAGCTGTAATCTGATACAACTTAGAACAATTCATATTTTGCAATATACATAATGTTATTTAATACAATAATTGTAATAAAAGACTATGTTTTAGGTTGTATATAATCTTATGACACTGGTAACAAAATGGGGATTAAAAACATTTTTTGTCGTGTCATATCAATCGAACTCGAATATATTCTTGTTTCCGTAGTGCGTTTGTTAAATTATTATGTGCTGTGTTAAAGTTTTTGTATATTGTTAATATTTTGTAATAATAAAAGAAATAAAATATATAACACATACACCTTTTCCAATTCCGTTAAATATTTAGTTTAGTACGCCTGCATTCGCACTTTGACAGTGACATTTCTTTGTTTACATTTTGGACATCTAATTTATGATCCATACTATAGTTTGTTATAATTATTTATACAAAGATCGAGCACGAAGAAAAATTTCTTCAATCTGACAGGACTCGAACGTGTGTCTATAATGCCAATTTAGAGCAACAGTTTTAGGTAAAAACATAGCTAGAGATTGAGCTAGCTAACCTTACGAATTTCTCTATGAGTTTCTTACGGACCTTTGTTTTTGGTTTTATATTGAAAACCATGAAGTTATATTTCAATTACCGCGAAATGACTTGGTTACAGGTTATGGATGGTTTCTAACAATACGTAAACATTGCGTTATAAGGATGTAACAACATTTATAATATTTTTCTACTTCACAAATTTGTTTTTTCGAAATTTCAACTATTAAAACAAGTTATACCAAATTAAACTGTAATAAAACACAACACAGTGTTTTAAACATCTAATAAATATATATATTTTTTAAAGTCTTTTTTAAAGTTACAGAATATTGTAACAATACAAGTAGGGTAATTCCATACAAACGTATAGTCTGTCTTTTTTGAAGACGGAGTGTTCATTGCCCAAAAGGGTTGCCCGCTTGCGACCATCTAGTGATTGCAGTCGATAAATATACTATCGACTATCGACTGAACATTGGTCACTCTTATAGAATAAATAGCCGAACTTGTTTCATTTGAATTATCCTCGAACCATTATTTATCCAATTACTGAGCAAAAGTTCATTTGAATTTTCAATTTTTGTAAGTTCATACATATATATTTAGAACTATGTTTATGAAAAATACAAAGAGGAGATATATTTTAAAGTTTTTAATATTAAAATCCGTCTATTCCTGTTAAAATGTACATGAATAAAAATTGGTCTCGACACTAGTAGGTCAAATGTCACTATAAGAATAAAGAGGGCAACAACGCAATTAGCAATCATTAGAACGTCGTAACATTCACAATTCAGTCATTTTTGGCAAAATTTTAACTTCTTTCAGAATCTATCGATAAAACTCGACAATTACATAATTATTAAAAAAATTATGAAAACTGGCAACCCTACAAATGTCATTTCACTCCGTCTTCAAAGACAGACTATAGTGCAATATGTATTATGTTTATTATACGGCCAGTTTAGCATATTTTCATGGAACAGCACGATTTTTTTTACTATTTGATTTTATTAATTTACTAATTTTGCTCTTTTAAGTATCTTCCATTGTTTTTCTTGGACCTTATATTTGCAAATAGGCAAAGAGTTTAGTGGTATATTTAGTTTAGAACACATATAGTAAGAACATCTAAGATCCATTATATACATAACATGTTACATAGGTACAATTTGAGGTCTACAGATTCCACTAAGCGGTAACTACATTAGTTGATTAAATATTATGATAACAATATCTTTAGTGTCGATTCTACACACATTAATAAGTTCAAAACTAATATGACAAGTGTAAAAATTATTGCCATAATCAAGACTTTTTTTATTTTACGAAATGACAAATTAGTTTCGTCCTAGACATGTGAAAATTCGATTATTTTAACATGATAACTTTCGCTAAATTCAGACCCCACAAGGGTATTTAATATCAATTTTTTTATGAGCTAAACTCTTCAGCAATTTTACAAAATTCAGACAATCATGGTTCTTACATAAAGAACCCGAGGATATAAAAATCCATAGATAATTTTTCATTCGGCGGCTTTACACTTATAGGAAAAAAAATTCACAAAATTGGACTTTTTGTATCCTTCAATAACCGGAAATGTCAAATTTTTTAATTACCTAATTATTTTAGTTTGCATTTATTACACAAAAATAATACAATCTTTATTCAATAATTTAAATGGTTATTACACGTAACGTAACATATTTATAATTTCAATTAATACGGAATTTGGTTTTGATAGTATTGTATCATGTCATAGGTCCTAGTTCTAAAGTTAAGGAAGGAATTCCTAATAACAGAAAGCATGTACGCCGCTGCTTCCTTTTCTGTCGAATTAGGCGCGAAACGTGAGCGAAGGAGACGAATAGTCTGACCTCGGAAACAAGGAAGACCGGTGTCCAGCATTAATGACACCATCGATATGATCGCTTCTTGATATGGTCTGGAAAAAAGTGAAATTTTCGTTTCTTATTTGATTGTGATGGTGGTGTTTGGCAGAATTGGCTTTTAGTTGATATTCATATATTTCTTGTGAAGTAACGCCACTATACTCTAGCCAAATTCGATGTAGAATAAATGTAAATAAAATAAAAAAGACATATAATTTTCAGGGTCTTCACCTGACTATTTTACAGTTACCACAATTTCAGTATTTTTCCCCGTAATTCCATTAAGCTATTGATAATACCAATCTTGATAAATGTGTGTGTGTCTGTGATAAATTTTGTTAAATAGGCGTTTCTAACCACTCGTAAGTAATTTGAAACCAACACAAAAATTACCAGGAATAAATTATTTATAAAACTCTGTGATCCCTAATGATTTTTTATTTGAAAGGAGATATTACAAACATTCGAGTTCGTGTAGTAATTTAAATTCAGAATCGGAAATTGATGATGGATGAGATATATAATGTAGTAACATTGACTTACAATTATATGGACGTCGGGTCCGCGCTAAAAAGTGTCCGCACTTGTAAGGCGCTAAAATCGTTTACAGAGCGCGACACTCCGCTTTAGTCTTCATTTGTTCTACGGACAGCGCGATACTGCGATGACATAACAATTTAAATTTCTAATAGGTTGACTTGGGACATTTTTTTCGTGGTTTTTGTATTAGACCCGTCGTCCATTTATTTGTAATTCAATGTGTAGTAAAGTAATATAAATAAAATTTTACGATTTTGTTTCTTTTCATCTACTATCTAGTGGTAAGTATTCATTGATAACAAAATTTTAATTACTTTATGCATAAATCATACATATCAATAGATACTATTACTAGATAGTATTACTTTTACCAATTTACCTATTTAAATTCCAATTATATATTTTCATTTAACTAAGGTAAAAGATTATTTTTTGGGGAACTGTATAAGTTTTTACAATAAGATTCCGGAGCATATATCAAGTTTTACCATTTCCTAAGTTTAAAACTTACATTAAAATTATTTTAATTGAAAAGTCATATTACAAAATTGTAGACTACGTGTTAGATAAAGATGTATGGAAAGACAACGTGAGTCTAGATTCCACACAAATATGATTCAAAATGTATTCTATAACATTTAAGTTTATTTGAAATGAGCGATCCCTAGAGTTTCTTGCTTGTTCTTCTCAGGGAGGTCAGCGTAGTGAATGAGCAGTAGCTTAAAAAAATGACGTTTTCAAGTGTAAAAATTTTACCTATGGAGTAAATGATTGTTTGACTTTGACTTTGACTATGAGCAGACTCTGTGCAGAGCTAGCCTAAATAATGAGCATTGGCAAAGAATGTTCTTCACATCTGCCCTTATTGGTTGCTTAGCAACGTTTTGTTTTTGAACATTCTATATCGAATTTGGCTATTTTACAGTTTGTTATAATTACACAAAGATCTAACACAAATAAACATTGTTTCAACCTGACAGGATTCGAACCTGTCACTGTGCCAAACCACAGCCCCAAGTGCAGACTTAATTTTCGTGAAACCACTGGTCATTGTAATTCTACTGAGACTCCATACAAAAATAATAGTACATTGCGTATTAAGGTAAATAAGACATTATTAAGGAGAGTTTGTTAGAAACCCGAAGCCGAAGGCTGAGGGCTGTAGTGACTCGAGGTTTGTAATTTTTACCGCCAGTGATACATACAATGTTTTTCATCACATTTGCGAGAAAATAGATACAAAGATAATTTATTTCTTGTATGAATAAATATCGCTTCACAACACAACATTTGCGTATTTTGCAAATAGCAGATTTAAAAAAAAAATGTTAAACAGATTGCCAGCTACTTTTCCTTAGATAATACAACTCGAACTAAAATGTTAAAAGTAGAAAATACTAAAATAGTACAAGGCACAGATGCATGCAGCCACGATTAGATATAAAACAAATCATTTGCAAATTCTAAAAATACTCGAATTCACAAAATACATACAGTTAAATTGCAAATGTTTAGTTTTTTTCTATACAGAGTATACTTGAAGCTTATGCGAAATGTATTCAGATTTTTTTATCATAACATTTTTTTACTTAACCTTGGCGTATAAGAGAAGTACAGTGTAAATAAAATTAAAAATCTATTACCGCCCTAGAACGGTAATGGAATGAAAAAGCCCGTGAGCATAATTTAGGATACTATATTCGGCTTTTCGTGCATGTCATGACACTGTTTACGAGCAAGTGTGATGAAAAAATATTTAAATAGATTATTATGTTTTGTAAAAAGATTTGGAACAAAAGCTTTTGTTTGTAATGTTAGTATTTAATATAGTCCAACGAGGTTCTGCCGTAAAAACTGAAAACCCACTACACGTCAGTTTTCAATATTACAACATATTACTCTTATCAGTGTTATTTGCACTCACCTGACGGCCAGGAAGGCCTGTACGCACAATTCGCAGAACCAGCGGAATGGTGGCGCTTCCATTTTCCCACCCATTATCATTACCATCTCGTCCGTCAATTTGATATCGGGCTCGAAGCCGAGGTTACCGCCTGGCGATGACTCGAACATGAAGCCGAAATCTGGAAAGACAATTAAATACGGTGTTATGTAAATTTTAGCCGTTGTAGCTGTTTTACTGTTGTAGGTCTTTTAAAACTGTCTTATTTTTTCTGTCTTTATTTTCCGAAATGAATTGTATCAGATACTGTAATGCCTACTTTTGTGTTATGTCGTAGTCTTTTTCTTGCTTTTAGTTAGTCTTCAAATTCAATGATTGTTATAAGAAAGAACTTGCATTGAGTGCAGTTTTAGAATAACGTCTCACTCTTTTTTGTAAAGTTCAAAAAATAAGCTAACGTTTAATTTACATCGCCGCGTAATTGAATGGAAGCGAATGTTTGTGTACAATTTCGCTTCCATTACGTTTAAACACTTTACGAAAACAATTTACGTAAATTGAGCGTTATCGTAGTTATGCACAAATTTGCAAGAACAGAAAGGTAAGTGAGGTTGGTTGGTAATGATTTCATTTAAAAACATCTACTTGAAACGGCGGGGCCATCAAGGTCGCCAAAACCTCGATCAGTTAGCAATTAAGAAGTAATAAGAGTTTCCCGGGTTTTCTGGTGCTGTTAATTTGAGTGAGGAACTTTTATAAATTGGTTCTGGTCTGGATAGCTACCAAGGTGATTATTATTAAATGAGCTCTGACGCTGTCAGCTACTTTTGATAGTAAAAATCTTACCGATATGTATAAGATGTCCGTCAGTATCTAACATAATGTTTCCGTTATGTCGATCCTTTATTTGCAGCAGGAATCCGATGACACTGTACGCCGCCATTGACGTCACGAAGCACCGTCTAGCAGCCTATGGAGCGGTATAAATATTAGCACATCGTCTATTATAGCCTTGTTTGGTTTTGTTTTTGTACAATTATTATATTATTGCTACAATTTTACAATGTAAATTTCACATTACATAAAAAAGGAACCTATTGCAATATAAGAGAATATGTAATAGCAACGTTATGAGAAATTTAAAATTGCGTGTTTAGTAAAACCACCAACAATTGTAATGCGAAAAGTCAGTCTGAAGACCAGAATTACCAAAGTCTGTAGTATGAGTTTTGAAATGTATAGGATTTGACATTTCGCTGTGTAATGATGAATGGCTTCCAAGTTAGTGCCAGCGTAGCTGGCATGCCACGGCGTTAAAACTACATCACACCTATTAACTGCATTCACAATAAATTCCACCTTGATTTCATTGCTATTTTGCAGCTCCAATACTGTTGGTACGTAGCTTGTGCGCACATGCCTTCGACATAGCGAGTAATTTAATTTTTTTTTACCGAATTATCGTCTGACCTGAAATTCTCTAGTCGTCTCATCGCCATATTTCTTGAGGAAGTACTCGTACATTCCGATATCCGTCTGTCTGCCCAGCTGGTCACGAGATTTTGCATTTGGCACGCACTCTATTACACCACACTAAAATACATAATGCATAATTACCGGTTTTACAATAGCTATACTAAAGTCTATTTGTTTAGGTACTTAAGTAAATGTAAACAATTTTAATACATATTTTTATTGAAACATGCTTTACAAATGAATAGGCATAAAAATAGGCCTGCAATGCATGCAATGATTTTTATATCAAGTGAATTAAATAGAACACGTATATATAGTGTACGATATACATTTTTCAAATGGCTTTAACTTCGTTTGTAAAAAAGAAATGTGATATAAAGCCAGTGTCCCTGCCCCTCGACCCACGCAAAATTAACCGTATTAGTACGGGAATAATATAATTCGAGCGATACTATCGCTACTAGAGTCGTCTCTTAATACAAGCGGCGCTTTAGGCGTTTTACTTTCCACCGACGATATAACAGTGTATGCAGATAACAATGAAAAAAATTACTTACCCCAGGCGCGGTGGCAACAACTTTATAAGGAAACAGATATAAATCAAGTCCAACTTGCTGGAATATATTCTTAAAAAGAGATATGACTTGCAAAGCAAGCATATCTTGTCTAACATCGTCTCCTACTTTGAAGATCGCCGCTTGCCACATTTCGGCTGCTAGTGATGTGAATTTGTCTTTTCCTTCCTCTTTTTCACACCATCCTTTGCAATCTGAATCGTCTGAGCTTTCTTTTGTCGTTAGCTTTTCGTCCGAAACCATAGACAGAGCTAGTGCTTCCATTTCAGCTATGCCGTATTTTCGTACTCTGAATCTTGCCAAGTATGGGGCTTTAGCTGCGCTTTGCATTGGGGTACCTATTCCCGAAAAAATATAGATAAAAACACAGGATATTTTACAGAATGTATAACGAAACATATTACAGAATGTAATACATAATATATTTCAGAACGTATTCTGTGGATCTAGTAAAATGGGGTACAAGTCAAAAAACTCAACTTTACAAGGAGACGCGAAAAGCTATTAAAGCTTAATAATGATATTAAAAGCGTTAAATGTGTTCCGCGTTTCCTTGTAAAGTTGTAAAGTGGACTTTTCGACTTATACCCCTTTTCAATAGAGCCACAGAATTATGGAATGCATTACTTCTGTGTTATAGCTGGTACTACAGAATTTATTGGTATACTATAGTTAAAGCCCGTAAAGTTTTATATTTCGTTTATACGCAAACAAGGATAATCCCTGTGACACTTCATTTGACATTCGTCATAGGAATGTGGTTAAGTCGAAAGACTTTTAGTGCATATGATTTTTGAAGCAAAAGTTCTCTCATATAATTTTATTTTCTGACGTATTCTGAACAATGTATAGATGTGTGAAATGTTTTGTATTATATTGAAGGCATAAACCATACAACTATAATTCAAATAAATAATTAGATATTTAACATTTATCACATCATTAATTTATAGGTTTCAAAAAAGTAATATAATACGGACATGTTCATTCAATGCATTGGCTACATTGATTAAAATTCATACTATAATGCCGAATTTCACACATGTAAGCAAAAATTAGTATCGTGACATCCTTAGTATCGCAGCAAACATGGCACAGATCACGCATGATTACACAGATGTCAATGTACAAAATAAAAAAAGAATATCTTGAAAACGAAGACGTTGGTGAATCCGCGAATGGTTATCAAGAAAGCCTATTGGTGCATCAAAGTTAACCTCTGAATTAGAAAATGAAGGCCCAGATAGCTGTAAAAGTGATATAGATATAGAGCAATGGCGAGGCGGGAAAAATGTCGTTAGTAAAACCGCAGCAAAATAAAATGACCTTTCTTAAATGGCGCTTTGGCGACACTTAAATACAACTTGTTAGCACACGCGGTACTAGTGTACTTCATTTCACTGGTTAACTTATTCTGCACGTACAATTTACCACAAAATGTAGTATTTGAATCGAGTTATATGGACGCCTCGCCACTGCTATAGAGTTACCATTCCTGTCTTATTATACTCTAGTGTCGTGTTACTTAATATGTGACGTGACTCACCGCTTTTATAATCAATGTCTATAACCATTGAATCCGGATTCGAAGGTAGATAGCAGCCTGGTTGGACCTAGGTGATACAAATTAACTGTATTAACTACATGCCAAATATGACATATTGGTGCGAGATCCGACCTCCTATATAATATTCGATCTTATAGCAAAGAGCGATGTTTTTAAAGTGAATCAAATGACATTGTAGTCATAAAGGATCAACCTTCACTGATTCAATTTTTATTTGGTCAAAAACTACCAATCCACTACACGTCAGTCTGTTATTTATTTTATTATTAACAATAGGACTATAGTCCTCGTGGGAGTGTACAGTCAACTGCACATCAAGCAATACACTTTTGTTCGAATATGATCGTCAATTTGGTAATATTGATGCTTGAAACTAGGTATAATGAAGTTTTTTTTTCAATATCTAATGACAAAGAAGTCATGCGCCTGATGGTAAGCTACACGCCTGTCCATAACAGTTGCAGTGCCACTCAGAGTTTTAAATCGCAAAGATCTGAAGGGCATTGCCACTGCGCCCATCACCATGAGACATAAAGTCCCATGTGACAGTAATTTCACCAGCACCCTTACCCTTCAAAACCGGAAGACGGTAATGCTGACATTACTGCTTGGCGGCAGAAATAGGTAAGGTGGCAGTACTAACCTGGACGAACTCTTTCACAAGGAGCTGTACTGCTACAAAATATTATTCTACGTACTAAAGAAGATATGGTTATGTTGATTATGTGTGTAATAGTATTATTATTTACACTCTCTTTACAATTACATTACCCTTACCACCTTACCGCACATTCGCCTTATAGATTTATTTTGGCTATCTGCTTTAATTCAACTTCTCCACATGTCCGAACCACCTAATCATCCCTTTCTCTATCTTTATCACTGTCTTTCTTCCAACCATACTGAATTCGGAGTTCCTTACCTTGATATTCTTCAAAGCCTCCAAACAAGCACGTTTCCTTTCTGCGCCCTTCGGGTATGGTCGTATAATTCCGCTGATGTTCGTGATCTGACGGAAGAATTCGAACTCTCTCTCGTAGAACGCCTTGGCCGGTCCCGATAGCGCGTCGACAATGTTCTTCACTAAGCCGTCCAGGATGTCATACAAGGCAGCTAGAGAAAATAATTGAGGTTAAAATAGCTAAAGAACAATGCCCAAGTACCATATAGTCCTGGACCAGCTAAAAAAGTTTACAGGGTTTCATTTGTATTTCCATATAGATTCTAATTGTAATGGATGCATATTTTCATAACTTTTTTTATTTGTTATAAAGCAAAACAAAACCTTATAACTAATACAATCTAGCCATTTTACAAGACTAATAAGCAATTTCATGAATTTGACATAATTTCCTAAAATAAAAGTAGCTTATAAAAAGGAATTGTCCATCGACAAATTATCTTTTAATATTAGTTAAGGGGAAGACACTTTGTTTGTGTGTTCATAGTCTACACTAATATATATTTTACTCACTGTATATTATTTATATTCATATTTTTATAATTAGGGCAAGTTGATTTAAGCAACATTTTCTTTTTAAGGTTATGTTAATAATGAACATTGATAGTTAGATATTATTTTAAGATAAGTATATAATATGAAAAATCATTTTATTGAATTTGACCAACTTCTGCTGTCCCGATTTTTTCTTCCCATACAATGAAATCATACTTATAAGAAACTGAGTTTTTAGCATTAAAAAAAATTGTCAATAGGAAATGAAACTGTTTTTCCGGATTTAAATCGCGTATATTTGGATTTAAATCCGGAAAAACAGTTTCATTTCCTATGTGTAACAATCCCCTAAACCTAAGAACTCGATAAAAATTGTCAATTTTATTAATTTTGCGTGAAAAATATTTTGTTAATTTTGACCAACTTCGGCTGTCTTGATTGTTGTCGTCAAGATAGCCGATAAGTACTAAAAAAATTTGATCAATTTTATTCATTTTTATGGACAACTCACGCTTGGATCAAAAAATTTACTATAACAAAATTATTTTCAAAAGACTTAATGACTTCCTAAGGCAGTTTCCTTGTATGTTCTATGGTTTCGGATTTTCCCAAACAGTCCCATTAAAAAAAAACACTCTGTATAAGATGTACTCACGATCTTTATGATGCATCTCCTCGTCAGTGTACATGTTTGTGTGCATGTTCCATATCATCTGGTGGGCTACCACTTGCGACTTCTTCGCTAGTGTCTTTATTAATTCTGCCACGTAGCCCATCTGCAAAATTATAGTTACCGGTATTATTATTAGGGTGGCTTCGTCAGGGTTCTCATTAATACTAGGGTGGCTTCGTCAGTCCGTCAGTTCGTTAGTCCTTATTATTAATACCGTCGCTTGGTCAGCACTTCATCACTGCAACACGCGATTGATCTATTGTATTCATCACTAATTACAACTAGAACCCAAATGGGCGGTCAAGGCGAAGTTACCGTTACCTAACTAAGGTCGTCCTAAAGAAAAGTCAGATCAAGAATACCCTTAACCGACAGCGTGTTTCATGTTAATGAGGCGGTAGAGTGTCATGACGCGTTTACACTAGATCTACAAACATGTTTATAATGTACCGTGTATTTAGGTTTTCATGATTGCTACGCATGGCAAATGAAACTATTCTTTCGAATCTAAAGTGCAGGTCACACCGCCTACGAAGCTTTCTTTTTGTGGGGAAATCCTCCTAAGATATGGATGTATGGCCCTCATTTCGTCTCTATTTCTGGTTATATACTCGATGTCTCAGGGTGACAGACGCAGTGGCAGTGTTAAAGTTCTGAGTGGCACTGCAACTGCTATGGACTCGCCGCGACACGCGTGTCGCTTACCACCAGGCGCACGACTTGTTCGTCTCTTAGTATCATAAAAAACGCTCGATACGTTGGTTTGTTTGAAAAACACATATACAAGTGTTAACGCAAAAGAACTCCGGCGCCACTGGGCCACCCGCGCCCCTCACTCGATTCATTCCGCCATCGTAGCTAAGCGTGCTCACAAGTATTACCCTTGATTGTAAGCAAATTGGAATACACGCTTACAAAGGTTTTTTATGTCATTTTATTTTATTAGCTAAATCCTTAATAGTAAAGTATTAACACAAGATTTAGATAAAATAATTTAATTTCCAATATCGTCGCTTAGAGTAAGACCTCGTATGTGATTTCTAGGTATTTTTTCAGTACGTGGACGGAAAAATGTGGTGTAAAATGTAGTAAACGCAATAATGTTTGTAGTTAGCATTTTAATTAGTTAAATTATACCTCTTCCACATAATATATTACTTTAATAATATATTTAAGCAAGAAATTTATAGGTTTTTCTTCAACAAAAATCAGTAAAAACGAACCGTGTGAAAACGCGTATGCGATTTTTTCACTCTTAAGGCGACGATATGTTTACAATTTTTCTTATTTTGTTTATTTATTTGTATTCAGGTTACAAAGACCCATAAATACATACCTTATAAACTAACATACATAATAATACAATAAGACACTAATGACTAATTATTATTTACACGTTGGACGCAACGTGGGTGTCCGATAGCCGGCCTCGGAAACATCGGCACCCTTCGGCCAATACTCATCCTTCATGAAGGTCGACAGATCGACCCCTCCGACGTAAAGTATCGTATGTCGAAATTGCCAAGTTTACAGGGAAACGTTTTAAAGTTCTGAATTCACTGAAACGAACATAACACGTGACTTTGGCATTTCTCAGTTTTATTCGGCAAAGCTCATTACTCACATAGAGTATTATAAAATCCTAGATATTGGTTAGATGATCTATGGTGATCACTCTTTCAGTGAATTCAGAACTTTAAAACGCTCCCCTGTAAACTTGGCAATTTCGACATACGATACTTTACGTAGGAGGGGTCGAGATGTTGAGTTGGCACTCTCACCAAAAATTAATTAAAATTTACAATGTGGCGGGGCCCCAACTGCTCGACTCTCAGGGTAGCATTGGTTTTCAACCGTATATACTCCACAATATCGGGGCAGACTTTGTGGAGTAATGAAGCCGTGACACGCATAACAACGTCTTCGGTATCGCTGGACGCAGTAAATGATTTGATAATATATGCGAATAGAATTATGCAAACATTCATCATATACTTACAGTATCATGCCGCAACGCCTGGATCAGTTGCGGTATATAAGTCAAAACAGCGGATGATGGATACGATTGTAGCGTGCTGACGGCCGCCTGGGCAGAAAGGGGGTGCGGCGGGTACTGCCGACTGAAGTACGACAGGGCTTCGACGGGTGTGACTTTCGCCCAAGTTATCATGTGAACCAACTGGAATAAGAATTATGAAAACTATAGTAGAATGGAGAATGGTTGCTTCTCAACAGAGAGGTTGCCGGTTCGCACTCCCATGGCGGCACGCACCAATGGCTTTAATTTCTAAGCTGCGTACATTTGTATATTTGCGACTATTTAGTAGCAATAACTCTCGTCAACTGTAAAGAAAAACATCGTGGTGAAACTTGCATGTCGAAGGTTCATAACTCTTGGAAAACGTGTCAAGTTACCAACACGCATTGTGCCAGCGGCGGACTGTGGCCTAAACCTCTTCTTAGAGTAGGCCCGTACTCAGCAGTGGAATAAAAAGGTTTATTTTTAAAATATTAACAACCTTGCAGGACTAGATTACTACCATCCAAAACAACAACTTTTCTTCCCTTCTTGTGTTATCGAGTTGTCAAGAAGCGACAGCCATGTTAGCTTGAGGCACCTGTAAAGGTACCGGCTGCGGTGAGAAGGTTCTAAAATATCTCACTAGATGTCACTAGCGACAGTGATTGGCGAAAAATCCAGTACAAAGATCTAGGTCTAATATGCAGTTATGTCAACTTGAATTCGCTAAGGCATGAACACCCTTACCTCATGTGCGTCGTTCAACAGAGTTTCCGTGGTGACAAGGTACTTCAACGCTTGAGGTACGTGGCACACAGCAGTCGGATTTGCTTGCACCTTCCTTTTTATTTCTTGTACGATTGCTTCTTGTTTTAACCTGAAATGGAATGAAGTAATTCGTTCAAGGTAGAATCAAAGATGTCCAATATAGGACGTCCTCGTCTCTATATAACCTCCATGTCCGATGGCCGAAGCAGGACTAAAGCGGACAGGGGGGAAGCGTGGCGGCTCTGGCTAGTATGGGCGGACCACGTGCGAATTTAAGTATTTAATTCATATTATTAAAACAAATACACATTTTGAAAATGTACGGAGTATACGTTAAAGAAAAGATGTAGTTTTGTTATTATTTAAAAACTGATTACCTTCCGTGAAGTATTTATGCCGTACTAAGGGTGTACTTTGCTTTTAGAGATCACTTCAGTTTTTTTGTACCGAGGAAACTACAAGTAATCGTGTTTCCAAAAAGTATGATTTATAAAGTGAATCCTTATACATATCCTTATATCTTATACATAAGTTTCATAACTAAAGCTTTAGTAATAAGGGATCAAACGAACGCAATTATTTCGCAATTACGTATCGCTGCCTCGGCGCAGTCCTTCGAGAAAAAATTGTTTTTCAACACTATTGTTCATGTTTAAATGTTATGTATCAAGATTCCGAATACTTTAATATCGTATTATGAGGGTGACCGTGAATAGTTTTGTCTGGAAATAAACTACATACAAGCAACATTTCTTTTATTTAGCAGTCGTGAACGATTTAAAATAATTGGAATATTGTGTAATCTAATTGTCTTTATTATGGTAATTTTTTTAGTCTTTACCTTTCTGGCAGGAAAACGGCCAATACTGGACTGATGTCCCAAGCAAGCTTGGCAAATTCTCGCCACGTGCGTTCCGTTTTAATATTAGCTCGCCAGATTGCTATGTTGTCCTCACCAGGCACCGCTTGCTCAGGCCGGCTGTGTGGATTGTGCCACGTGACTAGGAATTCTATTTCGACAGCCTGTAAAGAATACAGATTTTTTTTGTGCTAAGGAATCATCATCAACCCATTTATACGTCCCACTGCTGGGCATGTGTCTCCCCTCAGGTGAAGGTTTAGGCCATAGTTCGCCTAATGCGGGTTGGAGGCTTCACACGTTTGCCTCTACCACAACCCCTTAAATCAATATTACTTTAACCTTACATTGACTTTTCAAAGTAAGCTTATTATAATGTTAAAACTATGATGTTTTATTGGCAGCTTTGTGACTATTCATTCACTCAGTCAGTACTATGGTGCGACTTTTACATTAAAGTAATATTGCTCTTATGTCAAATTTAGCAATCTAAATAGTTACACGGATGCAATGGAAACAATATTATTTTCGAATAAATTGTCTAAATATTGATTTGTAATGATTAAAAATTAAGTTAAACTTATTTATTTACATGTATCTCTTCAATTAATAGTACATAGGACATAATTTGTCATTAAATAAAAATACGCGATGTTCATTTCGTAAAATTATGACAGCGACATCTATATGCTCCATGGCGACAATAACAGTTGACACTAAACTATAATTCCGAATTCATAACGTGACAATCAAGACTCAGCTTGTTTTATTTAATTTTCTTCATGAAAATGTAGAAAAATAATTGAAAACAACGTAATTTGCACAGATTACATTATTAC